ATCTGAAATGCTTGCCTTTGTATGTTACACTTCTCTTTTCCCTAGCTGCTTTCAGGATTCTGTCCTTATCTTTGATTTTGGAGAGCTTGATTATTATATGTCTTGGTGATTTTCTTTTAGGGTCTATCCTTCCTGGGGTTCATTGAGCTTTTTGAATGCTTATCCTTTCACTTTTTAAGATGTTAGGGAAATTTTCTTCCAGAAGCTCTTCAAACTATCTCTTCTGTAGACTTGTGTGATACTTCCTGTTCCAGAATGCCAATAATTCTTAAATTATTCCTCTTCATGTTGTCCAACATTAATGTTAGACCTTCTTCAGATTTTTTTATCTTTTTTTCTGCTTGTTCTTCAATCTTAGTGTTATTGAGAGATTTATCTTCCATCTCACTAGTTCTGACTTCTATCTCTTCAATTCTACTCCTTTGCTCTTTCAGTGAATTGTCCATTTCTGATATTCTATCAATAGTTTAAACCTCTTTCAGTAAGTTTTGAATTGTTTCCCATGCTGTATCTATCTTATTTGATTGTTCCTGTAGTGCTTTCCTGATGTCTTCCTTATTTTCTCAACTCAATTGTAAAGTGTTTTGATACATTTTATAATCACTTTTCTGAAGTTCTTCTCAGGCATTTCCAAGACCTGTCCTCCTTCCAGTATGGAGTGTAGGTCTACCTCCAATTTATTTGTCTCATTCACTTTATCTTGTTTCTGGACATGTGCTGATATGGTCATCTGTTTCTGGTTTTTTGGACATATTCAATAGATAACTATGGCCTTAATACTTAGATGGGTGTGTGTTTTGGTATTTTTTATGCTTTCTGTTTGCCTCCAGGTAGATGTGATCAGGTGATAGTCTTCCCTTTCCATTCTTCTTCCTGGGAAATTTCGAGATGCTACTGTTGGTCATTATGACGTAACTCAGGATTTAATTTTTGGCCTGTTTCCTTTTTAGTCTGCCTGTTTCACAACCCCCATTCAGGCCTTTTTCCTAGTGATAAATAGTTCAGGGCCAGCTGTGACCAAAATTTTATACTGCCGTTTGGTTTTAAATGGAAACTGTCCCTTTAAATTTTGAGGAGATCTGTGTTCATGTGTAATAGAACCCTCCAGGGATGGGGGTAGGGTATCTACTCGCTCAAGCACCCCCTTTAGTCAACAGAATGGACGTGTGCAGACAGCGAGAGACCAGTGAACAGATACAAAAATAAGAATGTCCACAGGTTTATCTCCATGGTTCTGTCAGGCATCTGTGGCTGCTCTGATCCTTCCCCTATTTGGTCTTGCCCAAGATGGCCACTCAGAGAATAATTGAGTGCTTTGTATTAGAAAGCATTGGATTTCTTGCTTCTGGGACCATCCCATGAGACTGCTTGGCCTGGTATTCTGTGTTGTTGCTGTTGGAGCTCCTGACTGCACTTCTACCCTATCTGCCATCTTGTTTGTTCTCCTAAAAAATGATTTTAAATAAACCAATACTAGAATATTACCTTCAATGTGATATTAGTGAATAGATTTTAAAAAAATCCTTTCTCAGACTTAAACCATATAATATGATTAATTTAATTGTAGATTTTCTATCTGGGCATATCAGCATATTTTTTATTCAGATAAATATTATTGTTATTAGGTGCCATCAAATCAATATGAACTCATAGCAACCTTATGAACAACAGAAACAAAGACTGTCTAGTCCTGGGCCAACCTCACAATTGTTCCCATGTTTGAGCCCATTGATGCTGCCACTTTGCCAATCCATCTCGTTGGGGGTCTTCCTCTTTTTCAATTATCCTCCACCATACCAAACGTGATATTCTTCACCAGTGACTGGTCCCTCCTGACAATATGTCCAAAGTATGAGAGAGGAAGTTTGGCTGTCCTGGCCTCCAGAGAGCACACTGGCTGCACTTCTTCCAACACAAATCTGTTGTTTCTTTAGGCAGACCATAGTACTTTCAATATTCTCCTCCAACATCATAACTCAAAAGCATAAATTCTTCTACGGTCTTCCTTATTCACTGTGCATCTTTTGCATGCATATGAGGTTATTAAAAATACCATGGCTTAGTGAATAACTGCTATCAGGACTGACTGTTACAGTTGAAAATGTAAAGGTAGACATTTTGTAGCAAAAGGAGGGGAGTGGTTGGCTTTGCAGTCCAGGAGAGGAGGGCCCTAGGACCATCAAGGGAGAAGAGCGGAGTGCAGGACCCTACCCAGAGAAACAGTGACACCAGAGATGGAGGCAGAGACAATGACATGGAGAGACCAAGTGGCTGGGAACTCTAGACCCAGAGAGGGTTAGGGGCTGTGTGCTGATGACCAAGGGGCAGGCTTGCGGGGTATACCCTTTGGTTGTTTGATGACGCATGGAGCGGATTGTAATCATGACAATGAAATGATTATATGATAGGATGAATTTAATGCTAATGTTCTCCCATGTAAACTATCACATAACTCATAATAAAACATTTAAAAAATAAATAAATACCATGGCTTAGTCTTCAAGATGGCATCTTTGCTCTTCAACACATTACAAAGGTCTTGTGCAGCAGATTTGTTTAATGCAATATGTCACTTGATTTTGTGCCTGCTGCTTCCATGAGTGTTGATGGTTGATCCAAGAATTTTTAGCAATCTTTAAAGAACTGTTTATAGAAAATTTAATATACTTCATTAACCATAGAAATTTCACTGTATCGCCATTAGTTGATTAGGTGATCATTTTTTGTTGCACTTTTTCTTTATTTTCTCAATTAATTCTAACATGACACTGACTTTTTTCAGTAAACATCTAGGGTAGATAAAGGGATGTTCATAATAGCTTGACAAAAAAAAAAGAAATACAATGTGCCATTTGCATTCTTATGTATTCCTGCAAATTCCAAATGTAGTTGATGGCTTGCATAGTGCATATAACTCATGAATATTTCATAAAATAAAAAGGGACTAGAGAATAAGAGTTTCAAGATATATAGTACAAAATTCTATCAATTTTCTTGAGCCCAATGACAAATCCCTTTTTCTAAAATGCAAGTCTATTTCAAGGAGACTTTTTAGAGTCCTTAGTTCTATGAAATGTAGGATTCTAAGTAAATACCTGATTCTATAAGAAAAGAACTGAATAGACCACTTATAAATCCTTTTTGCAGCATTTTTACACAAAGTAGCTATTCTACTTAGGCCTGGCAAATGTTCTTATATTAATTGTTTGCTAGCTCCATTGTTTAGAACATGTGCTTCTGGGATGCAGAGATGCTGAACAGGTGCTGAGCTCTCCTGCTGAGGAGATCGCCCTTCTTCACATATAGTGCATGCTTTCAAGGACGTGTGGTAATTTGGCCTTCTGATAAATAACCATCATGGTTGTCTGGTAAAAACTGGGCAATGGAATTATTTTAGAAGAAGAAGAAGAAAACTATGACAAGAGATTTGCAATGTTTTTAGAACAGTGTAAGTGACTTCTGAAAATTAGACTGGTCCGTAAGATTCAGAAATATAAAGAAAAAAGTAAATGAAAATTCTGTATGTGTGTGTGCTAATCATATATTTTAACCTGCCTACAAAATTAGACACTGCTTGGATAATTACTGTGGAACCTTTTAATACAGCTGACAATAGTATAAAGACTAGTTAGACCATTGCCAGAGATGTTGGATGTTAGGCATTGTTCTGCCACAATTTGATTATGTATCTGTTTAGCTTTATCTCCACCATCTGGAAAGAATATAGACAAAATTTCTCTACTACTAAGAGTATGTCCTTGAAGAATTTATTGAAACTTTTTGTTTCAATTAATCCTGAAGATACGGATCATCCTAAAATGAAACTACAGACTGTAATTATGTGACTATAAATTACTTATGAACTCAGTCCACTTAGCAATGCCATTTCTTACGTAAAAATTTAGATAACTGATTATAAACACTTTCTTATGTATAAATGCACAGGGATTCTTATATAACATTACTGTTAAAGGTCATTTTTAGACCAATTCCTTAAGCCATATATAAAATATTTTGGTATTTTGAAAATTAAAACTTGGAAAGGTCAAGGTTACCCTTTTCAAAGCTGAAGCTAAGGATTCTATTTACAAACAGGAATAATTGACAACAATCAGAGGGATGCCAGAATGGTGCAATTTCTGTATTTTCATCAAATAGGTGCTAATATTTGCTGTTAATTAAACTAATTGCCACCTAGGTTGGGGAGTGCAAGTTGTCGTGTGAGCACATTGGCCCATCTGCTGAGAATCTCAGTTCAGGAAAAATGGTGGAACTGGCAATTAATTTGGGCTCTGGCCAGTGGTCAACTAGCAAGCTGGGACACACTTGGAATATGAAATGCCTTGGAGTCAGAGATGCTCTGCTGTCCATTAACTGGCTGCTATTATGCTGCATGTAGGCAAAGCTAAGACCAGGTGCCAGTCTGCAGAACACAAGGATCTGCCTGAGTGCCACCTGTCATTGACACGTGGTTGTATCTAACACAGGAGTCATGGAAAGCTCAAAAAATGTGGCATGTTAGAAACATTCCACTAAGCTGAGGTAAAATCCAGGGCAACATTTGACTTAGGTCTAAACTGCAGGACAAACCAAAACTTTATCAGGAGATAGTCACCATATCACACATACACATATACTGAACATTTCAAATTAAATATTCTCTGATGTAATTCACTCTTACTGATGCCTTAAAGAAACATTTTTTTCGAAGCCCTGTTGTTGTTAAGGGTGTCAATTTGGCTCTGACTCATAGTGACCCTGTTTCCAAGAAGCGGATTGATGGGTTTGAACTGCCAATCTTGTAGTTAGAAGTCTAGTGCATATCCTAGAGTGCCATACCACTACTAGAATTTTAAATTAATTAAATCAACTCAAAGGGAAGTTCCTTCCTTGTCTCTCTCAGACTCTGGGTTTTCTAAGTATCATTGAGTTGATTCCAACTCATAGTGACCCTGTACAGGGTTTCCTAGGAGCACCTCATAGGATTGAACCAATGACCTTGTGGTTCACAGTCCAATACTTATCCTACAACACCGCAACAGGAGTCCTCAGCTTCTAGTAGCTGTCAGCAATATTTAGCATTCCTGGGCTTCTAGTTTCCTCTGCCTCTGTCTTCACAGAATGGGCCCCTGTGCACAGTCTCTTGGTGTTTGAATGCCCCTATATAAAACAACCTTCAGAAGAGATTAGGTTAGAACCAATGTAATACAAAGAAACAAGCAAAACTCCTATTTCTAAACAGGATTACACTCATAGCTACAATGTTTAAAGATCAGTGTTTATTTGGGGAGCCACAATTCAATCCATGAAAACTCCACTAACACAAATTCTTAAATTCATAAACAAAATTATTGATAAGAACCATTTATGTGATTTTTATTAACCTCAGGGCTTTTGTTGAGGATTTATTTCTGAATAATTTTTGCTATTCTTAGTAAACTGAGTTATAAAGAGGCCTGCATTTTAGACTAGAGTTTAAGAGATTAATATTCTTATTTCAGATCTGACATAATTCATCATTTTATTTTAAAAACAATCCATGTAATATTTCTGTGCCCCAGAATTTACAACTGCAAAATGTTGAAGGTAGACCAGAAGTCTTCTTTGAAGCTTTCAAATTCTTAAATGGTGTGACTCTAAAAATAACAACAAAACAATTACACAACTATGATAACCCTTGGTTTTTGAAGGGAAAGAACCACAATTGAAATGGATGAGTCAAGTGTTAAAAAGGACATTAAAATCATCAATAAATCCAGTATCCAATGGCAAATATGGCAACCACTCTTTATGTTTTATATCCATTTCCATACACACACATATATGTGGTGGTGGTGACTGTGTGCCATGGAGTAGGTTCCAACTCATAGCAACCCTGTACAGGGTTTCTGAGGCTGTAAATCTTTATGGGAGCAGAAAGCCTCATCTTTCTCCCACGGAACAGCTGGAAGTTTCGAACTGTGGATCTTGAGGTTCGCAGCTGGATTCGTTACCACTACACTACCAGAGCTCCAAATATATATATATATTGAAAAGGAGTAAGCTAAGAAATTTGGAAGATAGCTATAGCTACATGGTCACTGATTGGAAGAGATCCATATTTGTACCCATTCCAAAGGGAGGTGACCCAATGGAATGCAAAAATTATCTTTAATCCAACATGAAAGTAAAATTTTGCTAAAGATAATCAAAAACATTGCTACAATACATTGACAGAGAACTGCCAGAGGTTCAAGTCTGATTCAGATGAAAATTTGTTTATTATTACTTATGTCAGATGTATCTTGGTTGAAAACAATGATCACCAGAAAGATATTTATCTGTGCTTTATTGACCATGGAAAGGCTTTGACTGTGTGGATCATGAAAAGCTATGGACTACATTGCAGAGCATAAATATTCTGGAACATTTAATTATGCTTATGAGGAACCTGTACATAGACCAAGAGGCAACCAATTGAACAGAACATGGTGAAATTGAATGGTTTGAAATCAGGAAAAGTGTGCACCAGCATTGTATACTTTCACCATACTTATTCAATTTGTATACTGAGCAACTAATCTGAGAAGCTGGATTATATGAAGAAGAACATGGCATCATGATTGGAGGAAGACTAATTTACAATCTGTGATATGTGATGATACCACCTTGTTTGCTGAAAGAGAAGAGGACTTAAAATAGTGACGAAGGCCAAAGACCACAATGTATGGGTAGAACCACAATGTAAAGAAAACAAAAATACTCACCCCTGGACCAGCAAATAACATCACGATTAGTGGTGAAAAGATGGAAGTTGTCAAAGACTTCATTTTCTTTGAATCTACCACCCACACTCATGGAAGCAATAGTCAAGAAATCAAAGAAAATATTGCACAAGGCAAATCTGCTGCACAAGACCTCTTTAAATTGTTGAAGAGCAAAGATGTCAGTTTGAGGACTAGGGTGTGGCTGACCCAAGCCATTGTATTTCAATAGCCTCACATGCATGTGAAAGTTGGATAAAGAATAAAGAAGGTCATAGAAGAATTGAAGCATTTGTGTTATAGTGTTGGAGTAGAATACTGAAAGTACCATTGACTGCCAAAAGAATAAACAAATCTGTGTTAGAAGAAGGACAACCAGAATGCTCCAGCAGTCAAGATATCAAACGAAATAATGCATTAGGTAAATTAGACTTTGTCTCTTACACTTTGGACATATTATCAGGAGGGACCAGTCATGGAAGAAGCATATCATGTTTGGTAAAATGGATGGTAAAAGAAAAAGTGGAAGACCCCCAAGGAGAAGGTTTGGGAACAGTGGCAGCAGCAATGGGCTCAAATGAAGTGAGGATTGTGAGGTTGACACAGGACTGTTTCATTTTGTAGTGCATAGGATTGCCATGTGTCACTACCAACTTGATGGAACGTAACAATAGTCAACTGTCAATTTGTCGTACTGTGATGGCTTGTGAGTTTCTGTGATTCTGGATGCTATGCCACGGGTATTTTAAATACTGGCAGGATCACCCACAGAAGACAGGTTTCAGATGAGCTTCAATACAAAGACAGACTAGGAAGAAGAGGAGACTATTTCTGAATATTTAGTCACTGAAAACCTTATGAATAGCAGAGAAACACTGTCAGATATTTTGCTGGGAAATGAGCCCCTCAGGTTGGAAGCCACTCAAAATGTGACTGGGGAAGAGCTGCCTCCTCAAAGTAGAGATGACAGTGATAATGCGAATGGAGTAAAGCCCGTGGGAGTAAAGCCCTCAGGACTGTCATTTGATGATGGGGAACAACTCAAAATGAAAAGAAACAGCTGTAACATCCATTAATAATTGGAACATGGAATGTACAAAGTATGAATCTAGGAAAATAGGAAATTGTCAAAAATGAAATGGAGCACATAAATATTAATATCTTAGGCATTAGTGAGATGAAATGGACTAGTATTGGCCACTTTAACTCTGACAACCCCATGGTTTACTATGATAGAATGACAATTAGAAGAGGAATTGTGTTGCATTCATTGTCAAAAAGAGCATATCATGATCAATCATGAGGTACAACACTGTCTGTGATAGGATAATATCCATACAACAACAGGGAAGACCAGTTAATAACACTATTACTCAAATTTATACACCAACCACTAAAGCAACTGAGGATGAAAAAGAAGAATTCTACCAACTTCTTCAATCTGAAATTTATCAAACATGCAATCAAGATATGTTGATCATTACTGGTGATTGGAATTCAAAGGTTGGGAGCAAAGAGGAAGGATCAGTTGTTGGAAAATACGCCCTTGGTAATGGAAATGATGCTGGAGATCGCATGATAGAATTCCGGAAAACCAATGATTTGTTCATTTCAAATACATAGATGGAGGATATGTCAATGAACTTTAGCTTCACATTGTGATATTTTTGTTTAATAAAAATTTCTATGATTCTGGATAAAAAATCTATACTTTTGACATTCTAATAAAAGAAATCCACTGCTGTCAAGTAGATTTTGACTCATATAGTCAAATCTGCTGCACAAGACCTTTTTAAAGTGTTGAAGAGCAAAGATGTCAGCTTGAGGACTAAGGTGCACCTGACCCAAGCCATGGTATTTTCAATAACCTTGTATGCATGCGAAAACGGGACAGTGAATAAAGAAGACCATAGAAGAATTGATGCCTTTGAGTTATGTTGTTGTACGAGAACATTGAAAGTGCCATGGGCTTCCAAAAGAACCAATAGATCCATTTTGGAAGAAGTGCAGCCAGAGTGCTCCTTAGAGGCCAAGATGACCAAACTTCGTCTCTCGTACTTTGGACATATTGTCAGGAGGGAAGAGTCACTGGAGAAGGATATCATGTTTGGTAAGGTGGAGGGTCAGAGAAAAAGAGGAAGACCCCAACGAGATGGATTGGCCAGGTGGCAGCATCGATGGACTCAAGCGTAGCAACAGTAGTGAGGTTGGCCCAGGATCAGGCAGTGTTTCATTCTGATGTGCATAAGGTAGCTATGGGTCAGTACCGACTCGATGGCACTTAACAACAGCAACATACAGGCATGACTTGTAATTCAAAATTGTTCTTGACTCTGAATTTTTACCTAACATTTAATTTAAAAAAATCTCGCACTGCATTCAAAAAGCATTCTTAAATTACATTTTCATTTCTCATAATTATAATGTAAATAAGTCATATTTATTATGCTTACTCAAGGAGCTCTGGTAGCGTAGTGGTTGCGAATCGGACTGTGAACCTTAAGGTCAGCGGTTCGAAACTATCAGCCGCTCCGCGGGAGAAAGATGAGGCTTTCTACTCCCGTAAAGATTTACACCCTCGGAAACCCTGTACAGGGTCGCTATGGGTCGGAACCGAGTCGACAGCACTTAACAACAACAACATTATGCTTACTCAGTACCAGGCCTAATATAAGCATTGACTGATTGATCCTTAGCACATCTATATGATGTAGGTACTATTGTTATCAATTACAAATGAGAAAATAGAGATACAAGGAGGATAAATAGGACAGCCACCGAGTAAGTGACGTAGTATGAAACCTAGAAGCAGTGAGCCTCTAGAGTCTACATCCTTAAACACCACACTACCTAGTACTGCTGGGTGGGAATTCCATTTTCCATTTGGGGCTTCATAGTAGGAAAAAGTTGCTTAGTAAATGCCTATCTGTAAACATTGTTGTCTTCAAATAGTCATAAAATACACTTTAAAACCTAAAACATTTATTTAATAAAATATGTATGAAGAGTTTATGTTTATCATAATAGCACTTATCTGTCATCAGTAATACACCCATTGCCTTTGAGTTGATTCTGACTCATCGCAACAACCCTATAGCATAAAGCAGAACTTCCACATAGGGTTTTTTTTAATACTATAAATATTTTCGAAAATAGACTGTTGTTATGTGCTCTGGAATCCGTTCCGACTCACAGCGATCCTGCACAGGGATTCCGAGGTCCTGTGGAACAGCTGGTAGCTTCAAACTGATGACTGTGAAATTAGCAGCCCAACTCGTAAGCACTACACTACCAGAAAATAGACTACCTTCAGGTAACAGGTGCACCACCAGGATTCCTTTTCAGTAATAGTAATTCATTGTTGTTGTTGTTAAGTTCTGACTTGTAGCTATCCTGTATGGGATTTCTGAGGCTATAAATCTTTGGTGGTGGTGGTTATGTGCCTGGGAGTTGGTTCCAACTCATAATGACCCTGTACAGGGTTTCCGAGGCTGTAAATCTTTAGGGGAGCAGAAAGCCTCATCTTTCTCCTGTGGAACAGCTGGAAGTTTTGAACTGTGGATCTTGAGGTTCGCAGCCCGATTCGTACCCACTACGCTTCCAGAGCAACTTTAGAAATCTTTAGGGGAACAAAAAGCCTCATCTTCTTTCCTTGGAGTGGCTAGTGGATTTGAACTGTTGACCTTATGGTAAGCAGGGCAGTGTTTATCCTACAAAACTATAGCATTTCCCATTAACTTATTATATATCTCAAATCAAGAAGTGCATATTTCACTTTGAAATTTTCATTATTATGCATTATTCACTTGAAACAAAAATAAAATAATTTTATTTTTACCTCACAGAATATGCATAGTTTAACTAAATTCATTTTTCTTTTCTTATTTTTAATAATATATTTGTAAAGTAATACAATGTCACTGGAAACACATCAGGAGAAAAGATATACTTGCTGAAAGAATAAAATAATGTGGCTAAAATATATAAATCTACAGCTATGAATTATTTTAGGAAAATGACAGTTAAATTCTTCACATTAATTTTCTGTTTCCTAATATAGTATCTAGGCCACCTTTAAATTTATTGAGAGTGTTTTAAAAATATTTCCTTGAAGATTTGATTATCAACAATTTGATATGAATTGTTAGCTAGGATCACATTCCATATAAAAAAATTACCCTTTTTTGCTTTATAATGCTCCTTTTGGAAAAGTTGCTTTCATTAATTGAGACAGAAAAAAAGAAAAAAAATCATAGCTCAAGACTCAGTTTTGCAATAACATAAAGAATGATCAATTATATCTTTGTAAATGTGTGAAGAAGATATAATTGCCAAATACAATAAGATAATAGATATTTACAAAGGATTTTAAGTGTACACTCTACTCCACTACAGTGAATCAGTTATTGGAGAAATCATACATCATATTAACTCATTGGAATGTCATTTTAAATGGTCATATCTGAGGTGTGCATTTTGTGGGGTGAAGTGGGTATTAAACATGCCAAGTAATTGAAGCACTAGAAGTGTCTCTTCTGAGAAGATTATTCATCATATAGATTTGTGGGATAGTTCTGTGGCCAGATCTCAGTGTAGAGATCTCTACAAAATGTATTGAAATATATGTACCTTTCATCTCATCTAATGAAATGATAGGCATTTGAAGTATTTATAAAGAATATCTTGTTGAGTATTCTGTACCATTGCAATTCATGCAACTGGCACATGTTATAAAAATATGTTCAATGAAAACCATAAATATCCCCACCATTAAACTACATTTTCTAGCAGCTTTGTCAAAATATTTACACCACAAGTAAAAGGCAAAAAGTCAATCAGGCATCTTACCTTAATTTGGGAGATTTTGACAAGAGAGGAATAGTGGGAAAGAAAATATTTTTATCTTCTCTATGAATGTAATTTATAGTAAAATGCCAATTATTGCAAAGGAATAATACAATTTCCATTCTATCCTAATATAACAGAGTCCTGGTATAGCACTACTGTTTAATGCACTGGCCTGCAAAGTCAGTTTGAACTGCAAAGTCGGCAGTTCAAGCTCACCGGCTACTCTTTAGAAACCCAATACAGGGTCACTATGGGTTGGAACTGACTTGATGGCACTTAACAACAATAACAATTAATATGATATTGGATTTCAATAATTACTTCAAAAATGATAAAATACATTAATTGAGTGTTTCTATGAATTAATATATCAGTTCTGTCAGGGGATGTGAGATATACATAACTTTGTTAAATATACCAAACTATATAGAAGCTTTGGTACCCAAACTCTTAAGGTTTCAATAAATAAAAGATAGTTTACTCCTATATGACCTAAGAGATGGGTCTGACAGGAAGATTAGAATTTCCATAATTTGTAGTGAATTGTTTAGACTGAGCACACATAATAAAATTTTTTAAATATATATTTTGTGTTTAGAAAAAAATTATCTCTATATCTGTGTAGAAGGAGCACTGGTAGCTTAGTGGACTATGAACTGGGATGCTAACCGTAAAATCAGCAGTTTGAATCTACCAATTGTTCCGCAGGAGAAAGATGAGGCTCCTTTAAAGATTTACAGTCTTGAATTTACAGCTTATAGAGGGTTACTGAAGGAGCTCTGGTAGCTTAGTGGTAATGAGTTGGGCTGCTAACCTCAAGGTCAGCAGTTTGAAACTATCAGCTGCTCCATGGGAGAAAGATGAGGTTTTATTTTGGTAAAGATTTACAGCCTCACAAACCCTATGCATGGTGGCTATGAGTTGGAACCAACTCCAGGACAAACCACCACCACAAGGTTGCTGAGTCACAACTGACTCAATGGCACACCACCACTACCACATATCCATGTAGAGGGTCCTAGATAGTGTAAATGGTTATGCACTTAATTACTAAATGAAATATTGGACGTTCAACCCCACCCAGAATCATTTTGTAAGACATTCCTGATCTGCTTCTGAAAACTCGCAGCCTTGAAAACCCTCTGGAGCAGTTGTACTCTACACACATGTGGTCACTATGAGTCAGAACTGACTTAAAAGCAACAACAATATTTATATATGTTGTTGTTGTTGTTAAGTGCCGTCGAGTCAGTTCCGACCCATAGCAACCCTGTATAGGGTTTCCGAGGAGCAGCTGGTGAGCTTGAACCGACAACCTTGCAGTTCAAACAGCTTTGCAGTCTGGCACATTAACCCACAGCGCCACATATATATAGGTTAGCTTAAATAAGAAAAAAAAAAAAAAAACTTGGGAGGTAAGAATGCCTGTAAGATGTTTAGTAGACAATGAAAGTTAGATCATTAGGGGAAATACATAGGAGTATTACCTGTGAATATGTACTATAAATGACAATGAAAAGAAAAAAAAAACACATTTCATTGGGAATTGATTGTAGATTAGGTTCATGGGAAAAGAAGGATTAAAGATACTATTAAGGTTTGAATCTTGGGTTTTCCTTAAAATAGAGAAGTGAAAATATGTTTGTTTGTTTTTTGTCTACTAATATTTTATCATGCACTCACACACCTATGTCACTAAATTCAAAATATCATTGATTGTGAGACTCAACAGTACTTTTTCTGTGAATTAAAAAGAAAAAAAATGAATTACTCAATACACTAGGATATTCCATTTGTAGTTAGATGATCAAATGTGGAAAAAATGTGTTATCTTAAAACTGATGAAATATGGGAATTACTAGAAACTTTTATTATGTGCAGTTTCAAGTACTGTAACTCATTTAATCGTTCAGAATTACTTTAAGAAATAGATACTCTCATTATTCACATTTTGCAAAGGGAGAATAAGGGCAAATTTAAATCGTGCAGAGAGATTTGAAGCCAAGCACTGTAACCCCAAATACCACTTTCATAACTCTTACACGAAGCAATTCTTTTTTTAAGAAAATTATATTAAAAGATATAAAACTGCAGTTTTTAAGGGTCCACTGGTTTTGCATTAGGCATTTTTATAGTTTTTTTTTAACAATCCTTTCAACAGGATTAAAAACCTTCTTTTAACAGAGGTATAACTGTAGCTTCAGGACAATGAATAACAAGTTCAATGTCACAAGACACAGAGGAGAAAATGCTGAATTCAAACACTTAGTTCCTTATATGTTAAGTGCCCGTGCTCATTTTTAATTGTGTACTTGAAGTACCCTTTATTTCATGTTTGCTTAATAGTCTAAGCATTGGACTACAATCCCAAAATCAGTGGTTCAAACCCAGCAGCCATTCCTTGGAAACCCTATACAGGGTCACTATGAGTTAGAAACGACTTGATGGCACTTAACAACAACAATAACAATGTAACATTCTAAAATAGGAAATAGTGCTAGATTCATCATTGTTGTAATGGGTTGTTTCTGTATCTAACTCCCTTTTTCACATTTATCTCTAATCCCAAATATGAAACTTTGTGTATGGTATATGGTAGATGCTCACCAGATACATATTTAGTTCAGAGGTCCTCACCTAGGGGCAATTTTGTCCTGTCTTCCACAGATGGAAATTATTTGCTTACCACAATAGGGAAGAGGGAGAGACTGGAACTGGGAAGTACTAGATAGAAGTAAAGAAGGCTGTTAAACATCCTACAGTCCATAGAACTGCCCTTATGGCAAAGAATACCTGAACCAAAATGGCAATAGGTCTAAGTTTGAGAAACCCTGATTAAGTGGAAAAGATGACTCTGGTAATTGCTCAATTAAATGTTATTTTATTATACTTATTATTATTGTTAATTTTATGGCAAACTATGTTGTTGTTGTTGTTAAGTGCCATTGAGTCTGTACCAACTCATAGAGACCCTGTGTAGGGTTTCTGAGGTGGTTCAAACTGACCTTATAGTCGAGTGATTATCCTACATATAATTCAGTGCAGCAGATTTCAGAGATAAATTCTCCTTTTATGGCCATCGATGGAGTCCTGGTGTAGTGCTGTAGGATAAACACTGGACTACAAAGCCAGTTGAATCACAATGTTGGTGGTTCAAACTCATAAGTTGCTCCTCAGATACCCTATACATAGTTACTATGAGTCAGAAACAACTGGATAGCACTTAACAACAACAATGGCTACAGATAAAAGGTTCTACAAGTGAGACAGATCCATAATACCATGATTTATTTGAAATAAACATAGTCATCACTGAACACACACAGATGTATTCTTAGTTCATTGACATGAGATGAATGGTTATTTTGTATAAGAAACAGCGAATTTTTCTTCATATTCCTTGCTCATTAAGTGGTTGATGAATTGCTAAAACCAGGTAAGAGTAACTTAATGGATAAAGTGTGTGAAACTTCATTTTCAAATGGAGCTACCCACCCAAAAGCTATACGACACATTTCCTTTTCTCTGAAGAAAAGGGATGTTTCTTGAAACTTTCATAGCAAAACCAGAAAAACAAAAACACCAAACCGGTTGCCGTTGTGTCTAGACCTTATGTTTTACACTCCATAGAATTTTCTCTATGTAGAAGGCTGTGACCTGTTGGAAATCAATCACTAAGCCTGTCTGCTGAGGTACCTCTGGCTGAGTTAAAACTGCCTAACTTTTAGTTAGCAATCGAACCCAATTCAAAAATCCATTTGACCCTCAACTCACAGTCCTTTATAGTACAGAGTTCATTCTCCACTCAGAGAAGTGCAAGAATAATTGGATTTCCCTATAAAAAAATTATCAATCCTATCTTTAAGCAATTGTTTCTTGTGGATTTAATATCTGAAGTCTTTTTACAAAAGAACTTAAAATTGAAGACAACTGCTAGCCAAAAATATGACCCTAAGATATAACCATTTTTCTAAAGTTGATGTTTCTATTTATATTATGAAACCAAATTTCTTGTTGTTGTTAAGTGCCATTGAGTCGATTGTGACTCATAACAACCCTGTAAAGGGTTTCCAAGGAGTAGCTGGTGGGTTTGAACTGCCAACCTTGGGTTCAAAACAACCTTGTGGTCTAGTATATTATCCTGCAGCACCACACCAGGATTACATGCATCATCACACCAAATTACTTTGAAAGAATTTAAGCCAATAAGATCTCCTTATTTTTTTCCATTTGGGAGATAATTTAGCCTGCCTATACCAGTCACTCCTTGGAAACCCTATACAGGGTTGTATGGGTCAGAACTGACATGATGGCACTTAACAACAAGATACATTATAGAACTCTTAGTATGGTGCTGCAGAGAAAATGCTCGACTGCAAGGTCAGTTTGAACCACAAGGTCAGTGGCTCAAACTCATCAACTGCTCCTCGAAACCCTATGTAGGGTCTCTATGAGTTGTAACTGACTCGACGGCACTTAAAAACAACAAGAAATACCATTTTATATTAGGTTTTATGATTTTTTCTTTTCTAGCTAATAAAAACTTATCCTCAATAACAACTATGCTAGTATAAAAATGTTTAAAAGCAATAATGTAGGGATTTGCATATATTATTATATTTGAATAATCTATAAAGGTTAGTGGAAATTTTGCCACGAAAGACTGCATTTGGTAAAGGGTAGTAATTTAAATGTTTACCTATGCTTTA